GATGGCCAGAGGCCATCGATGGCGTGGTGCTGGCGCCGACAGTTGCAACTTGCACTAACTCGTCCGAGTCTGGCGGAAAAGTCTTGGATTATTTCGTGGTGTCGGCGTCCATGCAGTATGGCGCTACTGTGCAGGCCATTGTCGATGCGGGCACCACGCCCCACATCCCTGTCAAGCTCACGCTCTGCTCGGCCACGCTGATGGACTTCGGCTACAGGGTCGCGCGCATCCCGAAGAGGTTTCCCGTCGACATACCCATGGGCTGTCGCACGCGCGATCCTGCGCAGCTCTGGATCGACGCTGAGTTGGACATGATGGAGACCACTGTGGATGGCAAGTGGCGGCGCTGGGTCGCGGCCGCAGAGCTGGACTGGTCTGACGTCTACGGCATCGCGCCCGCCGAGTCGCCCGAGTACTTCGGCCGCAGTGAGGGGCCCCAGTTCGCTTGGAAAAAGCCTGCTCTACCCAGGGACCTTGCCTACCCCAGGCTGTCCCCTCGCTCTCTCTGGCGGCGTCTTCTCGCTAGGGTCTTCTGGGGTCTGAGTCGTTGGCAGCCTGCGCCGCTGAGAGCTTCGACATTGCGTCTCGCCCGCCAGGTCCAGGCCAAAGTAGGCACAGCAGGCATAGATTCAAAAGTTGCTAGACCCTGGCTCGAGTTGTTAGGGCTTTCTAAGTATCTCTCGTACGAGCTGGCAGCAGTTGCAGCGACTGCCACTAAGAAGCTTACCGACCTCGATTTTCGCAATGCTGAGAAATCGAAGAAGGATGGCTGGCGTGCCTGGGTCAAGGAGCATAGTTTGAACGGCGGCGCTGCTCTGTATGCGGTGTCAAAGCCGCCTGTGCCATGGCATGCCAGCTCCTTCGTTTGCAGCGAAGGACAGGCCGTTAAGAAGCAGCCTGCTACTTTGCATCAAGAGATGGAGCTCCTCGAAGAAGAGTGGGGTCATTGGTGGCGTGTTGGTGTGTTGAAGGACTCCATCTCGTGGCCTCGGGATTTGGGTCCCCTTTTTTCCCAGGCCCTCTCTTCAGGAGTTTAAAGAATGCATTAGGAGTTTTCCCACCAAATCGGGGTGCGGCTTCGACCAGATCACTCCTAGGCAGCTTTTGTCCTTGGCCGATGCTGGGCTCGTCCTGCTCATAGACCTCATTGAAGACATTGAGGCCGAATGTTGCTGGCCCCAGATCTGGACAAAAGTAGTTTTCCTTACCAAGCGTGAAGGGGGCCTCCGCCCCATAGCACTCATACACATTCTAGCGCGGATACAGGGAAGGCTTCGCAGTTCCATGATAGCTACGTGGCAACAGGCCAATCCGAGGCCCTATTGGTGGTCAGCCAAGGGGCGTAGTTCTGACAAATTGGTCTGGGTGCAGACCGCTGGAGCCGAGTGGGCCTCTGAGAGACATTTAGCCTCGGGCCTAATTCTTTCAGACCTCCAGAAGGCTTTCGAGCATGTGCGACACTCTCAGCTTGTCGCTGCTGCGCAGCGCACGGGGTTTCCTCTCCGCCAGTTAAAGCTTCTCGTCGAGCTCTATCGGTTGCCTCGAGTGCTGAGCTATAGCAATGCCGTGTCGTCGCCTCTGGAGGCGCAGCGGGCCGTCCTGCCTGGCTGCCATTTCGCAACGCTGATGCTGCAGTTAATTCTCATCGGTCCTGTCGACACCGTGGTCAAAGCGTTTCCCCATGTCACTCTTGGGGTCGTGGTCGATGATTTCGGCCTCCAGCGCATCGGTCGCGATCAGGACGTTGAGAAAGATTTAGTGGCAGCAACGGGCAAGCTTCATTCCGAGCTGAAAGGTGTGGCTTTGGTCGTTCACCGTGAGAAGGGTCGTGTCGTTGCGTCGTCCCCTGGTCTCAGGGATCGGATTGTGAAGCGAACCCGTAGGTTTAATATTAAAGGGGTCTCTAGTGAAAGGAACCTCGGTATCGATTTTGCTGCTGCGCGCACTATGCCTCGGGAGACTCGAAGGGCCCGCAGGGGACCTGCTGTGGCACGGGCTCGAAGGCTCCAGAGTTTCTCGAAGGAAGTAAAAAAGCGTCGTGTGCATCACATGGTGCAGGCGGCCTGCCTTGCCTCTCTCAAGTACGGAGGCACTGTGTATGGAACAAATAACTCTGATTTACGGGTGGCCCGTGCGTTACAGGCGCATGTGCAAGTACAAAGTTTGTCTAGCCGCAGCGTGACTCTGTTGCTTATGCTAGCCGAGGCGCCAAAATGCGACCCGTCTTATCGTCTCAACATCGACCCGCTTTGTATGTATGCCACCGCTGTTTGGGACGGTCTCTTGCCGCATAGGCTGCTTGAGCAAGGTCTGGCTACCGCTGTGCATCGTCTGCAGCACAGCGGCAACCCATGGGCGAGCGTCAGAGGTCCCTTCTCTGCTTGTGCCGCCACCGCTCTTCGGCTCGGTCTCGTCATCCAGGGCTTTGTCTGGCGGCATGCCGTGCTTGGAGAGATATCGGTGCTTGATTTTGGACCTCGCTCGGTTGCCATGTGGTTGACGCGTGCTGTTGATTTCTGGTTGTGGGCCAAGGTCTCGGTTCGAGAGGCTGTGCCTGAATTAATTCAAGGATGCAACATGAACCCGCTTGTGGCGCTAGTAAATGGCTCCACACTTCTTCCACTTGAGCGAGGCTATATTAAGTCAGTTGTCTCTGGAGGCCAGTGGCCTCAGCACAGGCAATGGGAGTGTGGGCTTTCTAACTCGGCCGAGTGCAGAGCGTGCATGAGTGCTCCGTGCACGTTGGCGCACAGACACCTCTCGTGTGCAGCGCATGAGCAGAGCATGGGTGCCGCCCAGGTTCCTGGGTATCTCAGCTCGCTCGCTCGTGCTACTGCTCACCCTCTCCCTCGCCTCTTTGCCGAGAGGTTGCTTGTGCCTGATGCGCCCCTCCCCGCCTCCTCCACCGTCCCAGATCGGTGGTTTTCGGGTGGACCCGCAGAGATGGGTGGCCACGTCTTCTTGGACGGCAGCTGGATGGACCAGCACCTGCCCGCCCAGGCGCAGACGGCAGGATGGGCCATTGTCTCTGTCTGTCGTCGTCGTCACAGAGTGATTTCGGTTATGTGTGGCGTTCTCAGTCAGATCGTCAAAGATATTGATGCCGCGGAGCTCACTGCTCTGTTGAGAGGTCTCCAGCATGGCGCTCCAGGCACCTGTTTTTACACCGATTCTGATTTTGTGTATTCTGGGGTCATGGTTCGGGGAGAGCGGGCCTGCTGCTCCAGCAAAAGCGCCTGGTCCGAGCTGTGGCGAATGGTGTGGGCTCGAATTCGTGACTGGGGTGGGGTGTCTGCTTTTACCTTGGTGAAGGTGCGGGCCCACACCACTCGCGTTAATGTAGTCAGTGAGTCGGTCTCTCCAGCCATGCGGAGTCGGCTCATGTTTCTCGAGCTTGGAAACGATGAAGCCGACTCCTGGGCGAAGTGGTCAGCTGATAGAGTTCGCATCCCTCAGGAGCTTCGGGGCACCCGTAAGAGGAAGGCCCAAGTACTGAAGGATTATGCAATCTGGTGCGCTCGAGTTGGCTCTCTGCTAGCCGATCACGATTCTCTCCATGCGCCGCCCCGCCTGCGAGTTCCGAAGGTTCGTGGTCCCGTTGTTGTTGTGGATCCCCCTCCTCCCGCTCGCATTCCTCGAGCTCTGGCCAAGGCTGATGCAGCTGCGGTCAGAGTTGCGCTGGCGGGAGTGCGTCGGCATGTGGTGCATCCGTTCAAGCTCGCCGATGGGCCCTGGTGTGCCGTCTGTGCCGTGTGTGGACATGGCGGAGCCACGATTTCTGCTAATCTTAGCTCGGAGTGTCCAGGCAGGCCGCCCCCTGGGTCCCATGGAGCCCGTGTTTTGCTAAATCTTGGCCGTGACCCAGCACGGTATTCATATAACAAGAAATGGCACTTTCTTGTTCAGCCGTTCAGAACGGGTGAGCTGGTCAGGGCTGGTGAGACCTCGTCAGCCACCCTGTCATAACCCGTTCGGTTCTTTTTCAGCCTCGTGTTACGAGGTGTCGCTGGGCGGTGGCGCAAGCGGCAACCCGATCAAAGGGGGACAGCGCCGTCCGTCCCAGCTGTCGTGCGTGCAGGCAGACTCATGCTTGCGCCAGGCTGTGCCCAGGAGGAGGAGGAGGAGGAGGAGGAGGAGGGGGAGCGACGAGGAGCGACGAGGAGCGACGAGGAGCGACGAGGACGAGGAGCAGGATCGGCGGCGAGCCCAGGGGGAAGTGAGAAGGGCCTGGCCTTCTCAGACGGGGAAGTCCCCCGACCTCCTGCGAAGTTGTCTGGGCCTTCCCCGAAGGCACGGGAAACCTTTCATGAAGGCGCGAGGGCGTCGGAGAAGTCCCGCCGCCTTCTGAGAAGGCCCTCTCCTTCTCACTTCCCCCCCCTCGCTCGCCGCCGATGGACGCGGGACGAAACACCTGCCCGTGGGAAGCGGTTGGGACCAGTAAAGTTACGGATTTCTCTAGTAAGATTTATGTGTATATATGGAATAATAATAATAAGAAGAAGAAGAAGAAGATATACATAGATAATAAAAACTGATGTCTGGGCACATGTTTCCCCAGCCAGGCAAGGAGATCGTATGCGCTTGCCCTGGGCCCAAGATGGGCCTGGCCAGGGTCGTGCTGGGCTAGGCCAGGAATAAGTCGTTCCAGAGCGTCCTGGAACGCTCTCCGAGCGTTCTGGAACGCTATGAGAAGGGCGCGGCGCCCGATATATCCTCCAGAACCGCCGGATCTCAGAGATGGCCGATGTGTCCCTGTCCGATATTGTCCTTGATCTGGCCTCGTCTTGCAGGGTCCCCAGGCATGCGACGCCCTGATTTTTTCAGGACGGCGTCCCTGGAAGTCCCGACCCTTTCCCTGGGACCGGTTTTTCGTCCTGAGTCGTTTTTTGACGGTCCCGAGGCCCGGCGAGGGCTCCCCGAGGCCGAAAATGGTCAAAAATCTCTTGTCCTCATTTTTTTTTTGTTACGACGCGAGCGTGTCTGGGTCTGTGGTGTGGATC